TTTATTTACCTATTTATTTATTTATTTAAATTTAAATTTGTTATATTCACATAATTTTTTACTTTTATATTTATTTCTCTATTTGAGTTGTTTTTATAAATTTTGAAATATACTTGACAATTAAAAGATTATCTTATAATATGCTACAGTTACATCGAGTCGTAACTTAACTTTAAGGAATTTCCAACAAAGCATTTAGAATTTCATTGAAATGAAAATATTTAAAGAATTACCGAATTTCTCTTAGAAAAGAACTTTTATTTTTCTGGTATTTTCATTTAGCTAAAACTTTCAATTGTGTGCTTTACTATTTGCAATAGACACACCCATGCCCATGCCCATGTCCATGCCCAGGCCCAGGCTGAGGCACTCGCACTCAGATGGACAAGAAAAGAAAAAACAAGGCTGTGTAACTGAGTCAAAGGCTGCCTGGGAGGCATCTGCAATCCGAAACTAGGTGAAATCAATATATTTCGCTCATTGTCTTGCCTTGCTCCAGCTTGTGCTTTGTCATCGCCGTCTGGGCGAGGTCCTTGAATTCCATAGAAAGAACTTAAAACCCATTCGGCGAGATGCTGCCACGGCCTTACTGAAATCTAGCTCATTTCTTTTTATGGTATTTGGCCGAAATCTCATTTTGTTCTGCTGCACGTTTGCTGTAGCTACAGTAAACTGTGGCAGCGAGTGGACAGCAGTGGGTCCACTAATGGTAAAATCACAAATTAAATACTAGAGCTTGGAATGAAATTAAAAAATCTGGAGTACAGCTCATCATATATTATTTTTATTTCTATTGCTAATGTTTTTTTCTTACTTATGCTCTACTGTAGCACCCATTTGAAGTTGGAGCCATATTTTATATGGGCGCCACAGGTTGACATTAAGTGCTGGTACAACATATTTGTTGACTGCACAAAAAAAAAAAAAAAAAAAAAAAACCAGAGCTAAAAATATTTTTTACTTTTATCGATTTAATAAATTGCGAGTTTTCAGCGCGCTTCTCTTTTTTATGTCTTTGATTTTCGGTTCGACGCTTTTACAGCTGACACAGTCACGCTCACGGCAATGTTATTTTTTTCTGTATTCTTGGATTTAGTTTTTTTGCTGTGGGACTCGCCAATGCGCATTTGCAGTTCGGTTGTTTATTACCTGCGCTTATGTTTTTGCCATTTTTAATGCATTTCAATTTTCAGGATGCGTTTTTCCGAACTTTTATGTTGAAGCTGGAGGGCTTAAACCTTTACAGAAATCAATTCACAATCTAAAAGGGTGTTGGGTGTAAGTGAAATACATATAGTTGTTTCTTAAAGTAAAGTTAGTAACTAGTCTCAAAATTGAGCTAATATATTTGAGAATAGTTTTTTGTCTGTGATTCTAAAAATATTTTAACAAATTTTTAATTGCGGGGAACGTTTGAGACTTTAAAATTCAGGGAAGGTGGCAAAAAGAGAGA